CTGCCTCCTGTTGGGCAAATCCATCATGGGAATGGGAAGTTCATATGTGAGGAGCTGGGGAGAAGGGCTGCCGATGCTGGCTGGGAAGAGCAATGGATTTGGGGGAGTCACTGGGGAGTTTTCTGCGCCTGCAAATTTTAGGAGGAAATGAGGGCCTGGTTCTTAGAAAAATATTTAAAGAATGAACGTTTTTGAAGTGTATGGTGAAATACCTCAGCTGATAGCAAGGCAGCCACATTTCACATTGATGTGAAAATGCAGGTGACAAACACAAGAGACAAACTGTCTTTCCAAAGGGGCTGGATAAATATAGGATTCCTTTTCAAACATTTTATTATTTATTATTTTTATTTTTTTGTGCATGAGTATATTGCCTACATGTTTTGAAGAGGGTGTTTGGACCCCCCTGGAACTGGAGTTACTGGACAGTTGTTAGCCACCATGTAGGTTCTGGGAATTAAACCCAGGTTCTCTGCAAGAACGGCCAGTGCTCCTAACTACTAAGACGTCTCTCCAGCCCCAAATTCAGGGTTTCTTAAGAACATTCATCTGACTGTGAAGATAGTTTTTTTTTTTTTTTTTTTTAAAGATGAAAGACCTGAATGTTCAAATGATTAAATGGGAAATCAAAATGCTTATTTTCTCATCAAAATAAATTATGATGAGGGGACAATGGTATAATCGCTTTCCTTTAGTAATTGATCCTTCTAATAATTACAGTGAATCAAAGATGTCTTTGTGCCCAGGGGAGTGAGCTGATCAGATTAATGTAGGTCTCCCCAGCACACTGCTTTATTACCCATCCTTGGAGAGTTTCCAATCAAGATACTTTTAGCAGAAGCACTCCTCTCAGGGCTCCTAGGAGCTCAGCACTGCCCTTTGATTGTCTCAACACTGCCTGGAAATTTAGTTTCAGGCTTACCTTCTCCTGCTGGACCAGGCAGAGAAAGCATGCATGCTGGGTGTGGAGTCAGCATACTCCAACCCAAGAGAACCCATTTCTAGGCAGTTCCTCCTCTAAAGGGCTGCTCACTGAGGAGCTCTCCAGCTACTAACTCTCTGCAAATGGTTCCAACTCACGTCTAACTCCTTGTTTGTTCAATGCCAAGCATGCATTTTTTATTGTTTTTAAATGTGTATTTCTACAGTGACATTGTATTATGACCACTTCAAAAAATATCTATAAAGAAAAGAGTTAATTATCCCTTATTGTACTTTTCCAGTACTTACCCATGTCTTCATCCTCTGGGTATGTGGATGTACGTATCCACAGACTTTTTACGCATCGCTTCGATGAGCTATGTTGGCACCAGTCTTAGTACCCTATTTGCCTCTGAAATCCTGTTGAGGCAGGCTAGAAAGACAGAGAGAATTAAGGGACATGGAAAGGTAAAAGACTCATGCCAGTCTTGTTAAAGTCTCTTGTCAGATAAGAGTCAAGAATCCTAGCACATGGGCTAGAGAAATGGCTCAGAGGTTAAAAGCACTGGATGCTCTTGCAGAGGACCTGGGTTTGGGTCCCAGCACCCACCTGGAGGCTAACAATTGTCCATAACTCCAGTTTTAAGGGATCTGATGTCCTCTTCTACCCTCTGTGGCACTACATACAAGTTATGTGCTTATATTCAGGCAAATACACATACACACAAAATAAGAATGAATAATCTCTTTTTGAGCTTAAAAAATCAATTCCAGCACAAGTAACAAAATTTTCTCTAGAGGTTGCCTACATAGAGACAATATTCCTTTTATAGTGAGTTATTTCAAATAAAAATATTAAAATAACAATGAATCATGGCTTAAGGTCTAAGCATATATGGCCTTACCCATTCCCCAGATGTAAACCTGAAATAACAAGACTATAAGCTTTTCTTTATGGTCAAACAACTTTTGCAACCCCTATGACCCCTGTAACTCTGTGACCTTGGGTTTTACTTTCAGCTATAATCCTGTCCAGTGCATAGGAACCACCCTATGATACCATTTACCAAAAAGAAAAGATTCTTTAGCAATCCTTTGAGAAGTAACTTCAGAAGTCACCAAAATCATTTATACGCAAAGACACTTAAGTTCAGTTCTTCCTTGAGAAGCTCACCCAGGCTTAGGTTAGGTATCCTTTCCCTGAGAGCTTCTCCATTAACCCCTGAGTTTAACTCTATGTTAAAATCTCTTAGTAAGCCGGGTGTGGTGGCGCACACCTGTAGTCCCAGCACTTGGGAGGCAGAGGCAGGCAGATCTCTGTGAGTTCGAGGCCAGCCTGGTCTACATAGTGAGTTCCAGGACAGCTGGGGCTACAGGGAGACCCTGCTTCAAAAAGACAAAAATAAATAAATAAATAAATCTCTTAGTAAACTCCAGCTTTGCCTCACCCTGCCTCTTATTGAAATTCTCCATGACAGAGTCAAGAATCAAGTTGAGGTCTGTAAAAACAGCTCTTTAGACTGCTTCAGGTGGCAGCGTGGAGCTAGGTCTCCTCTTGCCCCATTGCCATTGGCATTGTCCGTGGATTTGACACTGTGGAAGGGAGAGTGGGGTGTGGAATTCAGCAAACCTTAATATGCATCCTGACTCCTCTACATAGTGGGTGACTTTAGGCACAAGACCCTCATTTATCTGTTGACCGCTGAGTGTTTTCCCTGACTTTCTTTCTCATTCTGTAACTGGCTGGATGCTGGACACCTGAATAATGTTTTTCCATCTAAAAGCATACATATTGAAGCATATTAAGTAGTGTTGATATAAAGTTTCACTTTGATAATAAACGTGAAGGGACTGAACACAGTGCCTGGCTCACAACAAGGAGCTCAGTACATAGCATTCTGTGGTCCATCAAGTCTGATCACTCTTCTCCAATTTCTTTTTCATTTCTCAGCAGCCTAAATTATAACGGGCAATCTAGATATGTAAGAGGTTCTAGCTGAGTCTTCTGGCCCCAAACCTATTACCTCACATTCTTCCCACCATGGTGCTTGTATTCGTGAAGCATTGCTTTTGTCTGTTTCTCTTTATTCAAACTTTTCAGAGGTTTCCAAGGCTTAACAAAAATATGCTGATTTTTTTCCCCTGGCCATTCCGGACTCTCTGAGCATCTTCAGTACTTGGCTCAGTACTTGAATCCCCTTGGAATTTCAGCTCTCAGCAAACCTTTGGTCCTTTCTCACCCACTGCAATGACTTTCCCACTCGTGTCTCCTTCAGCTGATAACACATGTGCAGAAAGAAGTTGTGTTACCACTGACGCAAGAAGAAAACAGCGCAGGAACCAGGAACTCTAGAAGTTCCAACCTTCTTTGTGCTATATCTTAGTTGTCTTAGTCCTTTTCTGCTGCTTATAACTGAATACTTCACACTGGAAAATTTATAAATAACACGTTATTTTCTCACCATTATGGAGATTGAAAGTCCAAGTTCATGGTGCTGGAATCTGGCAAGGGCCTTTTGGCTACCTCTTCCAGACAGGAGGAAAACCATGGTTCACATGAGGGAAAGTGAAAGGGCCAAGAACAGAGGAGGCTGAGCTTGCCCTTTTTATTACATTTATTTATTTATTTATTTTTATTTGTGTGTGTGTGTGTGTGTGTGCATGCACATGCCTGTGCATGCCACAGTGCACACATGGAGTCCAGAGGACGATTTACAGGAGTCAGTTCTCTCCTTCTACCATAGGGGTTCCAGGGATCAAACTCAAGTTGTCCTTACTTACTGATCTATCTTGCCTGCCTTGAACTTGTCCCTTATAAATCTCATCTATGAGAACCAAATTATCATCCCTTAGTCAACTGCATAAAGTCCCTTCTCCCCACTCCACTGGAATGGCAACCAAATTTCAGCATGAGTTATAGAGAAAATGAGTATGCAAATCACAGATACAGTGAAGACTGTGAGTTCCCAAGTACTTCAGACAGCACATTGCTTGTTTGGTGTACTTTTATTATCCAACACAATATAATCAGAGAGACTGCACTTTGGAGCTCAGAGGAAAGGCTAAGTAGACCATTTTTGTATCCTCCATGTTATATCTTCCATTAAGATCTTTTGGGTATTACTTATTCATTTCTTTAATAACAACTATTATATTGCTTCATCTTCAGGGTTAGTTATCAAAATTATGCTGAACTTGGGATATGTTATTTTGTAATAATTTTCTAGATCTGCAGGGATTCTCCTGTGACAGCATATATAGCAGACAGTAACAAGAAAGTATTAGGGGGTACCTCAATTGTTTCTTCATTTCAAAGGGGAGTTTTCTGTAGATTCAGTTAGTGTCTCAATGGATCTATTTTTTAAATTTTTATTTTTATTATTCTTATTTTATGTGTATGAGTATATTACTTGGATGTATGTAAGTTCACCCATGTCATACAATGACTGCGGAGGTCAGAAAAGGGCATTGGATTCCCCTGAAACTGGAGGTACAGATGGTTGTGAGCTGCCATGTGGAGGCTGGGAATCAAACCCATCCTCTGAAAGAGCAGCCAGTGCTCTTAACTGCTGAGCCATCTCTTCAGCCCTATGAATCTGTTAAATTCAGAGTTCTACTGAGAAAGTCCTCTAACTCACACTTAGGATACTTCTGTATTATTTCTTATTAGTTATTATTATAGATATATTTTAGTTAACCTACAGAATATAGTATTTGCATACGTATGCGCACTTGTGCATATGTGTGTATATCTGTGTGTGTTACTATAAGATAGTACAAAGTACTTTAAATTTGTAACGCTAGATTTTGCCTTGGGAAACTATCTTATAAAATCTCTGACTCTCCTATCCCTCAGCTGTACAGTTGAGAAATCACAGGCTAAGTTTCCCGGGTTCCTTAGCATTTTGTATCTATTAATGATCTACAAGTCTAATCTAAACAAAATGTTGCTAATTTTCAAGTGAAATGCCTTCTGATTGCTGTGAGATTCTGTGTTGAAACTAAAATGACTCCTAACAGCCCTATTTGGTATATTGAATCTAGATCATTCTAATTTTCATTTTCTTTTCTCTCCTCAGTTTGCTGTTTTGTGGTTCACAAGAGGTGCCATGAATTTGTTACTTTTTCTTGTCCGGGTGCAGATAAGGGACCGGACACTGATGTAAGTAGCTTGGAAACTTATTTGATGTTAATGTGAATTGCTAAGAGGATTTATTTTTAATAAATGCAACTGTTGTTCTGGCATATACTGTTCATAAGAAGACTTCTCAGTTACTGTCATATAACTTTGTCCTGTAGCAGTGAATATGTTTGTTATCCTTTTGAGCTCTGGACTCTTTCTTAGAGCTATCCATAAAGGTAAATTATTAGCTGAGTAACCACATTGACTTAAATCCATCAAATTTATCTCTAAAAGTTTGTACACTACTAAGACCATCATTCATCTTGAGCGATGTAACAACTGCCCTTCGTCTGCTTCCTGAGATTGATGCTGTGTTTCATTGTGTATTATGAATGCTGCTGTCAAAAGGGTACCTGAAGCCTCTGTTTCACTGACTACCATCTATAAAGATGCCCAATAATTTTACTTATTTGTGCCCTGATTCTGTCTTCTCTATTGAGCATCTATTCTTTCCAAAATACAAGTCTAGCAACAGACTTTGAGAAACAGCAGAAAGGAAAAAGCAGGACTGTCCAAAATATATTAAGTGAAAGGAAACTTAGGTGTCATTTGAAAATAAAATAGGCATTTCTCTTCTGAATTTCTTTGCCTGGGTCTGTTTAGTTACTCATCCTTATTATGGTCTTCAAGTGATTCCCACATATAAGACTTGTTCCCACAAAGAAACTACTTTCAAAATGAATTTTCAGTTCAGGTAGGACATTTCTCAGAAGGTGACATTTCTTCAGTGGAGCTTCAGGAATTCAGATTTGCCTTATTTTAACCTTTGTAATGAAGGAACTTATCTTTCATGGTCCTGTTAAGGTGCTGGCAGAGACAATATTAATGAAAGCCTTAGGTCACCGTCCTTCCTCAGGGCTTTGGAAGGATGGAGCCAGAGTGGTCACCTCAGTGGTCACCTTGCTTTATCTCTTCATGTGTGAATTGATTATTGATTCTCTGTAACTGTGTGATACTGCTCATAAATAAATAATACAAACTTTATACAGGATAATGTTGTTTGCATAGGAAAGTCAAAAGATGATCATACTGAGCCATACCACTAAGATATTGGAAAAGCATTCAGGATATAGAGCTGTCCTGAAATGGTAGGATTTTCTTGGTTTGCCCCAGTCATTTGTGTGTATGTACTTGTTTATGTGTGTATATGGAGGCTAGGAGCTGACATTGGGTATTTTCTTCAATCACTCCCCACCTAATTTTTAAGAGAGCATCTCTCACTGACCCTGGAGATCACTGATTTAGCTAGACTGGTGGCCAGTGAGCTCCAGGGATCTTCCTGTCTCTTCTTTCCACCCAGCCCTAGCACTGGGGTTACAGACACATGCCCCTGTACTCGGCTTTTACATGGATGCCAACACTTTTCTACTGAGCTCTCTTCCCAGTCCATATGCTTTTCTGAATTAATTTTAAAGTCCCAGAATTATAGAGCTCTTGGGGGACTAGAGAGATGGCTCAGCAGTTAAGAGCACTGGCTGTTCTTGCAGAAGACCTGTGTTCAAATCCCAGCACCCACATGGTGGTTAACAACTTTCCATAACACCAGTTCCAGGGGATCTGATGACACACTTTTCTGGCCTCCTCAGGCATTGCGCAACATGGGTGTGCTCACACACATACAGGCATAACACTCATACATGTTAAGTAAAAATAAATAAATCTCAAAAAATGATTGATCTGGTCTGTCTTCCTTTTTTGTATGTTAGGGAACTGAGACTTATTGGAGAAAGGCATAAATGACCCGAGAACCATCATATATTGTCTAATGGGTTTGTGGTTGGTTCCTTCAAAAACCAGGTCCTAAAAGGAAAGCGAGAGGCAATGGGTTTTGCCATCAGTGGAGCAGGTTGGTAGTGTGGTGTGCATGGGCAGTTTTAGTCAAGTACTTACATAAGTGCCAAAGGGCACAAGAAAGGCCAGTTGAAAAAATGGAAGGATAGGGAAAAATAAAGTCAAACTTAAGAGGAAAAAAAGCTACTTCCAAGCATGTTTTCCAGACACAATAGGGCAAGTGCACATATGAACTCATACTGGTTCTGCCAGCATGCACAAGACCTGCTCAAGCTGAAGCCAGATAAAATCCCAGAATGAAGAGGGGAGGTGGACATAATGTCACATCTCTAGGTGAGGAGCTATCTGCTGCTGGGAGAGGGAGAGTCAGTTTTCTTTAAGGTATGGCCCCTATAGGTTGACCACCCTCAGTGGATGGCCACATACGTGAGTACATAAGTAACACACATTAAACTTGATGGGATTAAAATAAAAAGAATACCTGTATCCCAAATGGCACCCCCCCACATTGGGGCCCATATACTCTGTCACCCCTGTTACTGTCCACTGTGTTGTCAATGCCCCCAGCCGTTTCCCAGTGCTAGTCCATCCACTGAGGCTGGTCAGCCTATCTAGTGTTCCTTGTTTTAGGAAGATCAGCTGTTCCTCATGTAGCAGCAATCAGTTGCCAATATTCCTTTAAATAAGATTGGGGTCTGCTGTTCATCTTCCCAGTTCTATGCTGGGTTACTGTCTGGAGGTCTCTTGGGCCACCCTGGCCAACAACTGAAAGGAAGGTATCTCCTGTCTGGTGTTGTTTCTTGTTATGTAGCCTTAGAATAAGATTGTTTCGGATGTTCTATATGAAATACATACGCAAAAATAAACAAATAAAAAAGATGAGTTATATTTGAGGAAGAAGCATAAAAATTTGCTTCATGTTAATTAGTAGATGTGAAAAACATTACCATTGAAATCTACCTGATGACTTTATATCCATGCTTAGGTGCCAGGAATCTCAAAGTAACCGACTATGGCTAGTAATAATCAGATATATACAGGTTAGAGATGCATGCACAAACATCTAAGTGTTGGTTGCATAGAAAATTAGTTTTTCTGTATGAAACAGTATATTTTAAAATGAAATGGAGATCTTTTTTAAAGGTTAAAACCTCATTCCATTTTAGGTTTTACAGGGTTTATATTGAGTACAATATTGTACAACTGTATTAATTCAACTATGAACCTAAAAATTTACAGCCAGTTTTGAAAGAGATGCATCTTTGCTCTGGAAACTTTTATTGAATATGCCAATGCTGTTGTAATAAAATGCTTCTATTAATTATGTGGTCATTAAATAAATAATAAAAAATGTAAAGAAAATGAATACAAAGTTGGGAGGTAGGGAAGGGGCAGTGGGTCTGGGGGAGTTGGAGAAAGGAGGATGAATGTGATCAAAATACATTGTATTAAATTCTAAAAGAACTAATCAAAAGTAAAGGAGAAAAATTTTGAGGATTTGAATTAAAATTTGTTCATTGCCTGGGGAAGGGTTAAGATGCTCAGCTGGTGTGCTGCTTACTAGTGCTGTCAATGAGCTCAACCCAAAGGAGTCAGAGAAGTTACAAAGCTTATGAAATCCTCAGATATTGTACCTACCCTGCCATCTTGAAGATGATAGGAACAGAAAAGTACCAAAAAATAACCAGCAATACCCAGATGGCAGCAGCTCGTGGAACAGCGTTCGAAGGTCTTTTAGACACTTGGCGCTCCTCTCGGCTCAAGCGACAACCTTAACTGAAAGTCTACATTAGTTCAGGGGCTCCTGGAGAAAGATCCAGGTTCACTGGAAGGATGCTTGAAGATTCTCAGGTCAGTCTCCCAGCCTTTTACCTGCTCTGGAGGAGCAACGTTTCATTGCCAGGCCCTCACTCAAAGCAGGGAGGAAGGAAAGAGGCAAGAAGAGGCGAATACTTCCTAGGGTCTAAGAGGAATTTGCATACATCCTGAATAGAGAAAAGTGCAAAAGGCTTTTAAAGAACTGCTGTTAGGTGAGCTCAGACTCTGAGCCCAGAATCACAAGCTGGAAAGCATGGATGTTGGGGTATATGACTCTCAGAACAAGCAGTGCTGTGCCTAGTTTATGTTGGAAAGGCCACTGGAGTCTAAGAAGAATTCATATTTCCAGGTGTGCAGCTTTAGAATGCAGCTAGCGTTCCGCCCCTTCCCCTGCATCGAAGATTTTGTAAGGCGACAACTTAACAATTAAAAAAAAGATCCTTATGTAGAAAATAGCTTTCCCCTTTCCCCACCAAGTTCAGAGGTGGTCTGGGACACAGACTGACTGAAGAGGGAATAACAAGAGTTCACTCTGTGGAGGAGCCACCAGGCCTGTTCTCTTTAGTACCATTGCTCCAGTGCTCTGACAGGGTTCTTTTCCTTACTGTGGACATACGAGGTCAGGTATGGGGAGGGTTATGGGGGTTGAGTGGCCCACTCATCTCCAGACTTGTTCCTCACACTTCTGAAAATTATGCCTGCCAGAGCAGCTTCCTAGCTGTCTGTCCCTCAGCCTGGAGCACCTTCCTGCTCTTAGAACAATGTCCATTCATCTTCAGTTTTAGATGGACACTGTCCTTTTCACAAGATGTGTACCCTGCTAGAGGGAAAATGAGGCATTCTTGCCTTCCAGTATGTGTGCACGTATGTGTGAATATATGTAGATGTATATACATGCACGCATATTAGCACTTTCCGTCGTTTTCTGCTTTCTGTTTTACCTATATGCCTTAAGTGAGAGCCAAGCTGTGAAGCAGCTCTTTCAGAGCATCCTTCCAGGCTTCAGTGCTCATCACGCTACAGTGTAGCTTTCCCTGGCTGAGATTTGTAATCTATAAAGCTATCTGGAGAGAACGCACTCTTATGGACCACTTGTAACAACACAAATACAAAACAACTATTTACTGCAGCCATAGTCTCTGTACATTGGACATGGGGGTATTTGCCCTGTGATGGGGGTCTATCAAAGGCCTTCCCTGATGTGTGGAGGGATAGGCTTGCCTTGCGTTTTTGGTTTGCATTTTGTTGAACTGAGCTGTGCTGTTTTGATTTGCCTTGTGCATTTTTACCCGAAGCTATGATCTGTCTGGGGAGGGATTGTTCCCATTGTATTTTGTGCCTCTTCTGTCTCAACAGCACAGTTGAACAGA